TAATTACAGTAGACATTTTTGAGACATTCAGCTCATCTTCGTGTTTTGTGTAAAGATGGAATAGTATATTATTTTGCGTTTGAAAATCATATCTTGTCTGTTCTCCAGTTATCTGTTGAGCTTTTATTTTGGAATAATATAATTTGTGGTCCTTCACCATTTCCACAATTATCAATTTATTTTATAAATACTATCGAAAGACTTAGTTTATAGTTTCTTGTTTTTTTTGTCCGAGTTTAGTTTATAGTTTCTTGACTTCATATAATTTAGTTCTTATAATTTTTTGACTTTGTAAACTAATTTAGTCCTCATAATTATATTAAAGCATTAGTGCTAAAAAAAAATATATTAAAGGATTGTGTTGTCCTACCAAGCTCAAATTTAAGAATTAAATTAATAATTATGAAAATTTAGGAATTACTAAATTATATTATCCCCGTATTTTTTTCGGCTTTTTGGCTTTGGAGGATAGGTGACTGGGGAAAAAAAAAAGTGATGGTGCCCAGATTACCTTGTTGGGAGAATTACAAAGAGGAAAAAAAATAACTACTAAAAATTTTTAATGACAATTTAAGTAATTTGTAATGACAATTTTAAAAATAAAAAATAACAACTTATCAAACTTGTTTTGTAATTTTTTTTTGTAATTATTTTTTTAAGACTACATTATAATTCTATCTTCTTTTTTTCCGCTTGGCATGCAATTTCATTGCAAGACCCATTTTTTTCCATTTAGGAAAAATGGCAAAAAAAATTTTAAAATAGAAAAATTATAAATAAGGACCCATCATAATATTAGTATGGGTTTTGATAATAATTTTTATAAACCAATCCCTATGTGTAAGTTTACTATCTCGGCGATCTGTTTTTACTATTTTTCTTTTCATTTAAGCCCTGAGAAATTATTCCATTGAAGTACACATCATGGGATAACTTGTGTAGAGTCGAAACCGCCCTCGTACGTATGGGAAAACGAAATATTAATTTGACATTTTATTACTGAGCATGATTGAGTCAATCATTATCATATTTTTTATATTCGTATAATTTTTTGGACTGTCTTTTATATTCCGATCTTATTTTACAGATATTCTTATCTTATTTGCAGCAGACGAGCTCTTAAGCAGTATTATTTCATTTTCATCCACATTCTCGTTCATATTTCCATTTTTTATAATTCATGTCGAGATGCCAAACATATTATTAATGTAATATTTTATTAAAACGGAAAATAAATATATAAAAGAAAGAAAGAAAGAAACGCATGGAGTAAATTTGTCACTTAGTATGATTTTTAATATAATCAGTTAATTAATTTTTAGAAAAGAAAATTAAATACATTATATTTATGATTTTTTTTCAAACCAACTTGCTCAGATTATAAATTGTTATATAATCTAATGATATATATAAATATTTTTAAAAAATTATATAATACATGTATATGTTATAATTAAATGATTTTTTAACTTTATTAATTTTTTAAAAATTAATTAACTAAATTTTATATTAAAAACTAAAGATAGTATTATAAAAAGAGTAGTATGTCTCTTTTCATCTTTTCTTTTTGCTAGGAAGGCATAGCTTTACAAAAGGAGAAAGATGTCAAACCAGTGGGGCTTGATATGTTCCTTGTCAAGCTGAGCCGTGGGGGCCTTCCATTGAGGATGAGGTTCTCTCATAACCGTTTCTTAATAAGTAAGTCATACCTTAAGTTGTCTTTGTTAACCAGTCTATATAACAATGTTTCTTATCACATACAACTCCTCCGAACATAAATATAAAACTATTATACAAGTGTATATAAATGTTTTATATTTAGAACCAAAGAAATATCTCCTATCAAGATCTAACTGTAGTTCAATTTCAGCAAAAAGCTAAATTTTATATTAAAAATCGGGGAGTATTAATAATTATATAAGATTTGTTAATAACACCTATAATGCTCTTTTATAAGTGGAGATCGGAGATTCAGCCTCCTTGCTTGTAATTTCAAAGTTCAAACTATTAGTATCTGCACTTTTAATTAAAAAAAGAAAAATCATATGAGTCCTCGGGTTTTGAAGCACTGCGCCTGTATATAAATTTTGACGCTTTTGTTATTAAAATTGGCCATGGATTGCGTTATATGGACTTATTAATAAAATAATTTGGTAGGATTTTTCTTTTATGTATTGAACAAAATTTAAAAATAAACGATAATATTTGAATAATAAAAATTATCATGAATTTTATATTATACGACCTTTGGTCCTAGATATAAGATTTAATTGAGAATTAGATTTGGTCTAAATATAATATTTCAATTCATTTTATCTCTTAAATTTATAATTTTTTCTTCAAAATATCCTTACTCGTTATAAGGTGTTTCCAATAATAAGTAGTTCTAATATACATGACTAAATAAAGTAATTCAAAAAAAATCAATACATATTTATTGCAAATAACTTATTTTAATTATTTTTTAAATATTTTAAAATTAATTATCTAGTTTTTATATTAAGAATATAAGCTAGTAGGTATTATTTTTTTGGCCATTTAGTAGGCATTATACAGTTGAAGTGAAATTGATACAATGATACACTTTTTCGAGTAATTGACAAATAATTGGTATATGGATTCAATCATATGACTTTTTTTTTTTTGTTAAACCAGAGACTCAATGATATGGCATTGAGTTATCTGAAAAGCGTATAAAACTTTTTTTTTTTTGGTTGCTGGGTACAGAACCCTTTTCTTTTTCTTAATGTTAAAAGAGGAAAAGCTTACGACCCCATTAAGGCATTAACATTGCCCCAGCAAAGGATGCACGTGATTCCGGCCCACTCGGGGCATGGGAACTTTACCCTTTTTTGTTTTTTAAATAATAAAAGGATTTAAAACACCACAAAGAGTTTACAGCCTCAGCCGATCAAGGACAAAACATCCATAAAACAAAGAGTACAAGAGGTGGCGAGAGGCAACTTCACTTTCTGTTCTTGTTTCTTTTCCCTTGCCCAATGGAACTTATTCCCAAATCCCAAAAGTAATACCCGTGATGAGATTTAAAAAATGGAACAAATCGCATAAAAACTATAAATTTATATTATAGTAAAGATATAAAATTTTGTTGTTGAAAAACTTAGAAAATTATATTTGATCATGATTCAACATTTCAATATATTTCATTTCAAAGTTAAGAAGCATACAGTAATCTAAATTATTTTTTCAGTAATATTTAGTATCTAAAGTCTTAAACTAATTTTTTTTATGCATTTCGTACCTTAGATAATTTTTTTTTTGTTATGTATAGGTATCCTTCTATTAGAAACAATTCTATTCAAGGGACTGTAAGGTATTAAATATAAGCACCTATTCTAACAAAAATTAAAACACTGGTTTATTACATTGTAAGTGACTAACCCTTAAAGTATCTTTTTTCAGAAGCAATGAACACTCTAAATTTAGAATACTAAATGTTACTGAATAATACCTTAACATGCTATATGAAAAAAATACTTAGTTTCACTGAAAAAAAATATTTTAAGATGAAAACAAATGTCATTAGAAAAATATTTATTTTGCCAACCACTATATTTCAGGCACTAGTTTTACTTAATACTTCATTTTAAGCCATATAAATTTATCATTATTAGATGTAATTCTCCCAAAATAATGAAATCATTTTCAGCGAGCATCACAATCTGAAATCTAAACTATTCAAATACAATTATAATGGTCTGGATTTAAAAGTTTCAACTAGTAATTTTTAAATAAAAAAGTATTCTTTAAAAAACTTGCAGTTCAAAAATCATATTTATTTTGTTTTATATACCTATTAATAAAATGCTTGGCGGGAGGGTAAAAGACAAACAATGTGTCAATGAGAATGACCAAGAATGACATGGTTTCTTGTTTAAAGAAAGGAAATGAGGTTAAATCAGGATTTGTCTTATTGCCAGTACAGATAAAAACCCGTGAACCATATAACACGTAATAAATTACAAAAAGCGAAAACTTTGCTTTCAATGCAATCACTTACCATCTTTAGCCATGAAATGTTAGAAAAACGACACACAACGGAAGTTCAAGGTGGTTGATCACAGGACGGGGTGCTTGCTACATTACTCTAGCTTGAGGTGAGATGCAAAGTAACATAAACTTTATCAATGATTTTAAATTTTTACTATATTTTTGTTTTATTATTTAGACAAATTAAAGTAAAATAATCTTTTTTTCTCCCCGTCATTCACTTCTCTGTCTCATGATCATAATTTCCATACGTACTTGAACACTTTGGTTCAAACCAAACCATTGATTGAAGAAGTTGCAGAAATTTAATAGAAAAGTTAAGTGTCAGAGAGGTGAACAGGAAGCATGGGCGGCCCTGGAAGAAAAGCAAATGTGTTGTGTTATGCATCAGAAAATCAAATCTTGTTTGGGATCATGATTGGAATTTTTTTTTTTTAAAGAATTCTAATGCAATTCTTTTTTTTTTTTCCCCGCTAAGTAAGTGTATACTTTTATTGAAAATAATTCTATGCAAAATATTATCAGGTATTAAAAATAAATATATATATTTTTTACATGATCACATTATGAGGAACAACTTCTTCCATAATATCGTTGGTCTTCTAATGGAGAAACAAGCCCTAAGTAAGCGGCTCCACTTTTTGAGTCCATTATCTTATACTTACACGTCCTTCGTCTGTGACTGAGTTTGTCTCGATGCAATAATTCAGGCAACCGGACAACTACCCACCGCTTCCCGGTTCTCTCTTTACACACTTTCGCATTTAAAAAGAAGGGTGAAAAAAGAGGTGTTCTTGTAAAATTTTTAAAGGTATTTCCCACACCTAAAAGTTAGAACTTTTTAAAATCTAAAATCATTGGCTTCTAAAATCGTACCTCTCATTATTATTTAATTGGAAAATTTACAACGCTGGCCCAAAAACAAAAAAAAAAAAGGAAATCTACAACGTAAACGCCACGTATCGGTTTTCTCTTATAAAGTGAGCTACTTCGAGACCTTAGTCTCACAGGCTCTCGCTCCAAACTTTGCAGGGCGGAGAAAGCAGCGGCCATGGAGACGTTTCACAAATATCTTGTTCCAACGTTCTTAGCTCTGAGTCTCTTAGCTGTGTCCATGGCGGCAACGGAGAAGAAGAATGAGGTCCAGAAGAGTACTTATATAGTTCATATGGCGAAATCTGAGATGCCAGAAACTTTCGAGCACCATTCAGTCTGGTACGAGTCGTCTCTCAAATCAGTATCGGACTCAGCTGAAATGCTTTATACCTATGATACTGCGATCCATGGATTTTCCACAAGATTGACTGAAGAAGAAGCTCGATCACTTGAAAGCCAATCTGGAATCCTCGCTGTGCTGCCAGAGATGAGGTACGAGCTACACACCACTCGGACCCCTGAGTTTCTCGGACTCGACAAAGAAGCCGAGTTCTTTCCTGAATCAAACGCCCCCGGTGAGGTGATTATTGGAGTTTTAGATACCGGAGTCTGGCCGGAGAGCAAGAGCTTCGATGATGCTGGACTCGGACCCATCCCCAGTACCTGGAAAGGCGAGTGTGAAACAGGTACAAATTTCACTGCCTCAAGCTGTAACAGGAAGTTGATTGGAGCAAGGTATTTCTCAAAGGGCTACGAGGCTACCTTGGGTCCAATCGATGAAACAAGGGAGTCGAAATCGCCGCGAGACGATGACGGCCACGGGACTCATACTGCGAGCACAGCGGCTGGATCAGTAGTTCAAAACGCAAGCCTCTTCGGGTACGCAGCTGGGACGGCGCGTGGGATGGCCACGCGCGCCAGAGTTGCAGCCTATAAAGTTTGCTGGATGGGAGGCTGCTTCAGTTCTGATATATTGGCCGCCATCGACAAGGCCGTCTCTGACAACGTCAATGTGCTTTCCTTGTCGCTCGGAGGTGGGATGTCGGATTATTACAGAGACAGTGTGGCGATGGGATCTTTCGCAGCAATGGAGAAAGGGATTTTAGTTTCTTGCTCCGCTGGGAACGCAGGTCCCAATGAGTACAGTCTCTCTAACGTAGCACCATGGATAACTACCGTAGGTGCTGGCACACTGGATCGAGATTTTCCTGCTTATGTTAGCCTTGGCAATGGTAAAAAATTTTCAGGTGTGTCTCTTTACAGAGGCAATACTCTGCCAAATTCTCCGCTTCCCATTGTGTATGCCGGAAATGCCAGCCATGCCTCAAATGCTAATTTGTGTATGATGGGAACGTTAAAGCAAGAAGATGTTGCCGGAAAGATAGTGTTGTGCGAACGTGGAGTTAGTGCGAGGGTGCAAAAAGGATCTGTAGTGAAAGCCGCCGGCGGTTTAGGTATGGTTTTGGCGAACACCGCCTCTAACGGTGAAGAACTGGTGGCCGATGCCCATCTTTTGCCAGCCACGGCGGTGGGTGCGAGGGCCGGCGAAGCCATCAAGAACTATGTTATGTCTGATCCGAAACCGACGGTGAGGATTGTATTCGAGGGAACCAAAGTTGGGATCCAGCCGTCACCAGTTGTCGCGGCTTTTAGCTCCCGGGGTCCCAACACCATTACTCCGGAGATACTAAAGCCTGACTTTATCGCGCCAGGTGTCAACATCTTAGCTGGATGGTCAAAAGCAGTAGGCCCCACTGGATTAGCCTCTGATGACAGGCACGTGGATTTCAACATCATATCTGGCACCTCCATGTCCTGCCCTCACGTAAGCGGCTTAGCGGCTTTGATCAAAGCGGCTCACCCAGAATGGAGCCCAGCCATGATTCGATCGGCGCTCATGACCACAGCGTACACCACTTACAAAGATGGCCAGACGTTGAAAGACAGCTCAACGGGAAAACCCTCCACACCGTTCGATCACGGGTCAGGACACGTAGACCCCGTAGCAGCCATTAATCCCGGGCTCGTCTACGATCTAACAGTAGCCGATTACCTAGACTTCCTCTGTGCCCTGAATTACACCACCGCACAAGTAACCAGCTTGGCGAGGAGAAAATTCTCGTGCGACGCAAGCAAACGATACAGTGTGACCGCACTTAATTACCCTTCATTCGCGGTGGTCTTTCAATCAGTGAGTGGGACCGGCGTAGTTAAACACACGCGGACTCTTACTAACGTGGGGACCGCAGGAACATACAAGGTGTCGGCAACGTCAGATACCCCAAACGTTAAAATCTCAGTGGAACCGGAGGTGTTGGATTTCAAGGAAAAGGAGAAAAAATCATATACGGTTACGTTCACGTCATCGGGTGCGACACCACGGACTCAGTACGGGTTTGGTCGCTTATCGTGGTCTGATGGAAAGCACGTTGTGGGAAGCCCAATCTCATTTAGCTGGGGAAGTTAGGAAGCTCCGAATTCGGATTCTATGTTTTAATTCTAAGCGCTCCATAGAAGGGTGATCAAAGGTTCATCACTCACTCGAAGAGGGGTGTGTTTGATTGGCTAGCTCGTTATATTTGAATCTAGGAAAAACGAAATGTTTAAGGTTATGTGGTTGATGAAACAAAACAAGAGCTGGGAATTATGTTGTGTTTGTTCCTGGGAGAAATTTTCTTCCAGCGTACAGCCTTGGATGGATATATTCAATTTGCTGCTGGCTCGTTAATTATGATATTTTAGCCCATTTTTATTCAAGCTGTTGTTTTCAGAAATAAATTGTGTGTCAGAGTCCAAAGCTCAGCGAATGAAGAAATGGAGTTGGTTGATGACTTGATGCTGAAAGCGAAAAGACAGAGAAAATGTGTGGGGATGAGAGCATGTGGTGACTCAAGATGTTTCCCAATTTTCTTTCAATGTTCCCTCTTATTTTGAACAAGTCCATCAATATCCTAGTTTCCAGCTTGCTTCATTATTGCATTTGTGAATTTAGAAGGGCAGGCTGCCCCGAACTGTCACATGGGATTAATGATATTTAGCTACTTCCATTTACATGCTATAATTTTGGAACTTCAAATTAGATCATATCACATTAATTTGAAGAAATAAAAACGGGCGCCAAATATTAATAATTTTCTCACAAGATACTTAAATATCATTCTCCCAATATCAAACACTCCGTGTCTCACGCAAATCTTTTTCTTATCAATATGTGTGCATTTAAAAAATATACTCTCTTTTTCACCATTTAAAAAAACTCTTTTCAATGTTATATATAAGGCAGTATTTGATCATTTTTTATGTCATTCTATAGGTTGTTGAACTATTAAATTCTATAATGTAGTCCCTTAAATTTTAAATATAAGACTTAATTAATTCATGGTGGTAAAAAAATTAAGTTAATTATTTGTCATTATTATGTAAAAATTATGTGTTACTTTTTTTAAAATATTTTATTTTAATGAAAGTACCATACGGGAGAGAAAAGTAATGATAAAAACTATGAAATTAATAAGGATGATGTTTAAAATGTTAAATGATGGAGAGAAAGTGGCACCTGGGATAGGAGAGAATATAGCGACTGATGTTTAACCTAACGGGAATCCTCCGCTATACGTGGAAAAATATCAATGCCTCAAGTGGTTTGCGGAAAGAAGCAAGTGAAATATTCGGCCCAAGAAATTTTGTCCACTTGGATAGGTCAACTGCTACATTGAATTGTGTCCTTGTTAGTTGGGCATTCTCGTGGGCCGTACAAAATTTTTTAAGACTCGGAGCACACGGTGGGACGCTACTTTCAATTTTTAACATAACAGCTTTTAAATTAGTCATTTATAATAATTAAATATTTTTTTAGAATACTTTTACTAATCATATATGTTAGTTATAATTACTATTTAATAAAGTTTTTAATATATGCAGCTACTACAAGAACTACTTTAAAAAAATAGACAAATATGAGAGACAAAATAAATTGAGATCTTATATTTAAAACTAAATTAAAAGTTAAATTAGTTCTAATATTAAGGATCAGAACTAGTATTTAGAGCCAGTAATATGGGTTGAGCCCAACCAGCCATAAGGTGGCGGGTTGAGTTGAAAAAAATAGAAACCATTTTGATGCGGTCTTTTTAGCCAGCAGCAGGTAGCCGCTAGCCCTTTTTTTTTAAATACAATTTTAATTTTAATAAATTTTTTTTATCATTTTTACTTAATTTACATATAACTTTGTATTTTGTTAGCGACTTTGATCTTAAATTTGATTTCTCATTTTCTTTATTGTTTTACTATTTTTATACTAATAAAATAATTATTAACAATGAATTATATGTTTATATTTTAAACTTTTGAGATTAATTTAATTACATAATTACTGAAAATATAAGAATGAGAAGAAATTGGTCTATAAAAATTTATAATTTAATTTAAAAAATTTTAAATATGTGTAAAAAAAAATTTTTTTTAAAAAAATAGAGGTTGCTGGGCCAACCCGCCAACCCACCTCTTGACGAGGCGGGCTGGAAAAATATGAGCCTACTAGGAGACTGTTCTTTTAGGATCGACCTGCATGGTCTTGAGCCTGTGACAGGCCAGCCCATTTTACCACTTCTAGTAGTATTTCATATATTTGAATTAGTTGTTGGTGCCATTAGCTGATAAGAAGTTGACTCATAACCTATAAGATCATAATTTCAAATTTTACTGTTAATGTGAGAATCTTGTTGATAAACAATTTAATTAATCCTGCAATTGCTTTTAGATTCTTGAACAAGGAACAAAAAACCGGATCAGAAATTAAATCGCTTGAGGCAGTAGGTCAAGGATTACTGGTCAGACCGGTCATATTAAAATAATATAATTTAATTCATAATATTAAAATAAAACAAAATTCATAAATAATAATCACTAAAAGATAGGATGAGAAGCTACAAAAGGAGTTTAAATGTTTAATAATACTAAGCCAACATTAATGAAATGTATATATCTTTGTTATGGAAAATCAAAATCATATTGGCATACAGTTCTGGAGGTTCTTTGGTTTCAAGCTCAAGGGTATGGATACTTTATATGTCCAGAATAGGTTCTTCAGTTTCAAGCTCTATATCCAGAATCAATTTAATCCTATCTCCAAAAGAAACAAAATCTATATTATTTTAGCCAAAAAAAAAAAAATCACCAACTACTTTCCTCTCCTACTTCAACTGCTCATAAATCAAAATAATTCCCAAACCTTTCGACAGCCAGAGAGAAACAAGGAACAAAGGCACCTCTTTAATCCTAAAAAACAACCTAGCTGAAAGGGAAACGTTTCAAGCTTACCCACAACTCAATGCATCGAAGGGACAACATTGACTCGGATTTAAGGGAGACCTCCGACTTTCAATTTTATGAACTACGAATGCGAGTGGCGCGAAGGCCAAGCTCAGAGCCTCAGACTTGTGATGTGAGTTTGGGTTCTACCATCTACGAATGTGAGTGGCAAAGGCGAAAGGCGAAGCAGGTGAGGTTGAGGGAGACTTGTGAGCTCAGAGCCTTAAACTTGCGATGCAAGTTTCGATTCTGCCCTCTACGAATGTGAGTGGCTAAGGCAGAAGGCGAAGCAGGAGGTGGTGAGGTTGAGGGAGACTCAAACTTGTGACAACGGCGATGCCATTGCAAGGTTAGGGAACGACCGAACAAGGAGCTCTGCCGTAGACCGTCATGTCGTCAACGATGCTAAGGAGCAGGGATTCTAGAGGAGGTGATTTTCGAATTTTGGTTTAAGGGAGGAATTAGAGTTATGCAAGCCAAAGGGGAATCAGGGGAGGGGTTGAATGGAAAAGGAAAGAGAAGAACCGAAGAAGTCAAGAAGGGCTTGTTTTTTTTTTTTTCAAAAAAAGAAACGGCGTCTTTTTGGGCTTTCTGACAGGCAAAAAAATATAAACCCGGTAACCTACTGAATCGGGGTTACCCGGTTTAATAGCAGTTCTTGCCGGCTGAACCGGTTTTTTACTGGTTCTATTGATCATTGGTACTAACAATTAAACCAGATCGGACTGCAGACCGGTTCACCAGCTTTCCGGTTGAACCGGCCAATCCGATCCGGTTTTTTTTTTCTCGCTCTTGAAGCATCTCCTGGACTCCTAGCCCTGGTAAGCATTTGGGATCCAACATATTTAAAAAAGATTTAAAAAAAAAATTCAAGTAAGTATATCCGAAAAAGTTTTACACCAGCAGTAGTTTATAGGGAGTCTGTGATATTCATTAGCAGAACAGATATTTTAGATGTGATAATAATTGAAATAATAAATGCTTACGTCATGCACAATGTATATGTGCTTCTTTCTGTCTCAGAAGATGTCCGTGTTCTTATTAAATGGCGAGCAGAGAGAGTTCAACTGTTCAAGATTATTAAAGATGATGGATGGCAGGTGAGTGCTAAATCTGCTTTATTCGATCGGTTGAGTTTGTTGTTTGAGGAGTTTTTTGTTTCATTAAAAAAAATCATAAACAAAACAAAGACAGGAAAATAATTAGAGGAAATTAAAAAAGAAAAGAAAACACGCATTGAGTTTTTTTCAAAAAATTGACTTTGTTATTGAGGATTAATTTGGCCCTCGACTATGCATACAACTGAATTGATATGGAGATGTTATTTATAATAAATTTTGTAAGTACTCTTTCAACTATAAAATTTATTAAATTTTGACGAGTTTTCAGATTTCATTCACATAGCCGTTTATTCATTGGTCTTGATTTAAAAAATTAAAAAACAAAACAAACACACACACAAATTTCAAATGCCCACAGCCCATTACACCGAATCTTCTAAATTTGGAAGTTTCCCCGGACTGAAATTTTAATTTCACTTCTTGTTATTATATATATCGACTTAACCATACGGTGAGTTTTTTTTTTTTAATACAAAAAAGTTTAGATGAGTTGGGTTTCGGGAGCTCACCAGGGTCAGGGTATGTTTTCAGGCTCAAAGAGTGCTTACAGAGGTATTTTTATAGATCGCCCACCAACAAGGTCCTCACATCGGCAGCGAGATTCGAACTCACAACCTTGTATGTTATGAGCTGACTCCTTACCAACTGGATCAAGTAACCATACGGTGAGTTTATCAGGACTTAACATTTCGTTCTCTCTCTCTGTTTTTTTTCCCGATACAATTAATGATTCGTTCTCTATACGTGAAGAAATCACGGTGCTTGCACAGTAAGGAATCTAATTTTTCCATCTGCATTATTATTATTTCAATCGATAAAAAATTATTACTATGAATAGTAAATTTCAATTTCAGGCTCTCCGCCAGCTATTTCGATAATTTTTTTATTTTTCAAATATAATAGAAATGATTAGAATTTCTGTAAAATGGTTATTTCTTGTAAATTGGGACGATCTCTACATCTTTTTCAGCAAAATAATTACCATGCATCTATTTATCATTATTATAGAACTCAGGCTCATATAAAAGTGAAATGAAATAAAAATAATATCATAACTAAAATCACTTTGCGTGTCTTTGAATAAAAGATCATGAAGATTGTATATCTATGAGAACTGGTAATTAAGTATCAATTATTGTGCAATGTGGTGGGAATATTGCTTCCTCATCATTCGTACTGAATGAGATTTAGCCTTTTATTTTTGGTAATGATGAATGAGGGCTAACTTTTGTTTGTCGGTAAAAAACAATCACCTAAATAAGATGCAAAATTGGTTTATGATTAGTAATTAATGCAGAGGGATTATGAAATCTCAAACCTAGAGGTGGATGAACAATTATGAATCCCCACCGTCACCTACCACAATAAATAAAATTTTCTCCCACCATCCATAATTCACTTTAATTACTCTCATTTTTTGCAATCTGCACATTTAGGTGAAATTTTGCCTTACACGTTAAGATACATTTCTTTCAAAAAAAAAAAAAATGGTAATGCTGGATTTGTTTTGCCTGTACAGTTCCGAATTTATTCAATACGAAGGGGTTCAAATTAGACCAAAAAAACACACGCAGTTTCCAAAAATCTTAAAAGGTCAAAAAAGTATATTGGTAATACAAGTGTACGTTAAGAATGTGAATGGAAAGAAGGGGGCAACGTTTAAAAAGTAGGAGAGAAAAAAAAAATGGACGATGAGTAATAAGATGAGAAAGTACTTGAGTGGAAAGCACATTGCATTTTAATTTAAAATTTGAACATTCAAGTTTATGAATTCTTTCACATTTATATATATACAAATACTTGTTAAATCTAACCCTTGTCCGATTAGAAACGTTTCACATAAATCAAATCTTCTTACATTTAAACATCGTAAGAATGCAAAATAGTTTCTGGACGTATATTAATTAGAGTTCACGGGGATTCTCCAATCCAAAACCCGAAGTTTCTTTGTTCACCCATAGCAGGCCTGAGTTGAGGGGAAAGTGACCGAGTTATACATGTTTGGTTAGTGTATTTGAATTAAAGAATTTTATCGTCGCTTTTTTTTTTTGGGGTTACAGACAATTTAGATGAGTTGGATGTCGGATGCTTACTAAGATCAGGCATATCTTCAGTTCAAAAACTCTTACACGAGTACTTACAGATCTCTCACTAACAAGGTCTTCACATTTACAGCGAGATTTGAATTCACAATCTATGAGCTAATGACTAACTGAATCAACTATTATTAGTATTTTCTGGTCGCTTTCGAATTATGATTGATATATTCAATTTCAAATAGCAGAATGGACCCCACGCGCACTTTGAGGCACGCCAAACGGGACAGATAAAGCCCACTGGAATTCATCCAGAAGAATAGCATCGAAAGCGACTTCTGAAGCGTACTGGTTCCGTTAATGCCCGGCCCAAGTCACACACTCTTCCTTTCTTCACTTCCGGACAATTAAAAACACCACCTTTTTTTTCCGGCATCCACTCCCACCCATCTCTATCCTCTATTCCTTGCTTCTGTGCTTCATCCTCATCACTACTCGCTTTACTCCTCTTTATATTCCATATGTCTCTCTCTCTGTCACTCTGTCGCCCACATCCTTCGTCCTTTGTTCAACTATCTTCATCCTCATTATAAATTCTTATTCTTATTTATATCTCTGGCCAGTTCCCCAACAGCGAGCCTGTACCATTCCTGATATGGCGACAAACAGTATCAGAGGAGAGCATGAAGATTCTAATAATTGTGAGAACAAAGAAGAAGATGAAGCATCAACAGCTGCAGCAGAGGAAGAAGATGAAGAAGAAGCATTGTCGCTGTGCGATCTTCCTAACAATTCGAACAAAGAAGAGGACCAGGGGAGAAAAGCAGATTCCTCTCGTGATCAAGCCATTGAGGCCCAAGAGGAATTTGATTTCCTCCTATGGGGTGGTCCCTTTTCCAAGGAATCAGAAATGTGCGTTGCAGATGAAGTTTTCTTCCAAGGACAAATCCTCCCATTATTAAATACTTCACCACCTCCGACGACGCTTCTCGGTTGCTACCCGCCGGGTTCAACCGGTCCGAATCATCAAGATCCGGCTCCATGACCAGCGAGCTTAGGAGCAGCAGCAGTAGCAGTAGAAGCAGCAGTGTTAGAAGCCAGAACTCATCAAGTAGCATTAGTTCAGCAAACAGCATTACAAATCCAGAAATCTCCAATAAACCCAGAATGCGAAACCAGTTCCAAACGCATCCAAGTCCAAAGCCTCAACTTAAAGTATCAAATTCAAGGCAAGTAAGTTTTGGTCATCTGAATAGAAAATCATCAGCGTGGGACTTTGTCCGTTTGGGTGTGGTTCCTGCACCGGAAATAGGATTGCAAGATCTTAAAGTTCGTCGTTGTACCAATAACAACAAAAACAAAACTTCTGCGAGTAGCAATGGCAGTAATGATACTAGCAGCGAAAGGAGCAATAATCATGGTTTCAGACGGATGGTGGGGAAAGCCGGTGGTGGGTTCTTGAAGGGCTGTAAGTGTTCGGTTGAAACGGTGCCGTTCGACATCATGATTGCTAAAAGCACCACCAAGAAGACAGAAAGTACAACGCACGCCATGAAAGAAAAAGCAAAGCAGAAGCAGAGGAGGAAGGCAGTGTCACGTCATCGAACGTTTGAATGGTTAAAAGAGCTTTCGCATGCAAGCCATGGCTATGACGACGAAGAGGAAGCTTTGTTATCAAGCTCAACACATAGTAGTGTATTATAATATTGTAATAACTTTAACTTAGTCTATGGGCTGCCTTTTGCGGCATTTAATTTGCTTCCTTAGCTTTAATTTGAATTATTCTATAATATTGTAGGGGCCGGCTCATTGATCAAGGCATGTCTCTCTCACATTCTCGTGAGGATGAAGATGTTGTACTGTGACATCGTTGTTTGTCTTATTAATTAGTGGCAAATTGATGATTGATGTTAATTAGGGCAAGATATTAATTAATTAGATAAGGAGGGGAGATGAGTGGTGGTGATTGGGTGGAAAAATGATAAGCCCCCAACATTAGTGGAGAAAATTTAGTTGCTTATGGTTGTCATGATTAAAGTGTGGAGTTGGATGCTTTTTTTATGTGGTAGTGGGAGCATATGTAATAAAAATAGGATTTGAGGACTGCTCATAGTCACGCGAGAGAATCACAGGGATCTGAGAAAGAAAGAGGAAGACACCATGGGAAAGTCATGTACTGTATAGAAAAGAGCCAAAGTAAAGTGGTTTGGAGGTGGAAAAGATGGTTTTCCCCCCCCTGAGAAACGGTACCTTTATTAATGCAAATTAATAAAGATGATCTCCGTAAAAATCATAAAAGCTCTCACACAAATCTGACCTGATCTTATATGACCTTGTGGTTGGCGTTCAAGATATATATATATATATATGGTGTACTGTTCAACATAATATCCAAGTTGACATCCTACACAGTGATCAGGTCATAGTTCATATATAACACCAAGAGTCCTAGGTGACATGCCATAATATTATCAGGTGACACAAAATCAAGTGGTCCATTTATTGTGGTAGAAAAAATCAAAATCGCACCATTTTTTTTTACTAATAAGATATCAAAATATCACTAATTTTATATAGAATCTAATTATTAGAAGAAACATAAAAAAAAAAAAAAGGAAAGCGGAGAAAATTTAGGAAGCAGAGGAGAGAAGGAGAAGCAGACACCCCAAATTCAAATTTACGTCTGAATGCATGTCCTAATATGCAATAAAAATTCATGGCTCCGAAGAGTTTTACGAAAGACATGGCCCTTGTGGCGAGGATGAGAAAGCTAGTCCTAGGTTTGTACTCTATATATAACATCACCCTGAGAGGATGAGAAAATAGAAGAACGTATGATCAACAGTTAATTATGCTATATCTGAGTTAACATTTTCGGCATTTGAGTGGTCCATGTAATGTTGTCCTTGTCACGTCAAAACTCAAAACCAAACGAACACGATAAGGTGGCAGTGGTTTTATCTTATGGCTGTTTCAGCAAAGGTTGATACTGTTACCTCTCACCACAAAAAAATATGTCAATTATAACGGTTAAAGTGAGACATTTCTAGCAGTTCTAACCGCTACAAATAATATTTGTAGCGGTTACAAAAACCGTTAGAAAATCAAGCGCAAGAAAAAATTTCTAGCGGTTATGGCAACCGCTACACAGTATGGTCAAAACGCCAAAAACTTTAAACCGCTAGAAAACGCTAGTAGTAGGAGATGAAGTTTCTAGCAAACAGAAACCGCTAGAAAAAAGGAAAAAATTTGTAGCGGGTATATAACCGTTAGAAAATTCTGAACCAAATCTCATTTTGCCGGGAATTAAAAATTTTCATTCTGGCGCCAAAACCGCTAGAAATTTCATGGGAAATCAAATTTTGCCGGCAAATTAAATTTTTGAAATGGCGCCAAAACATTTCTAGCGGTTTGAACCGCTAGAAAATTTGGTGCAAAATTTAAATTTCACGAAATTTTCCCACTATTTTTTTTATTTCTAGCGGTTTTGAACTGCTAGAAATGTATTCCGATGCAGAAAATTTTTTTTGGTTTTTTCATTATTAGAAAATATAATATTATAAATTTAAAAACCATTAAATAGATTATGTTGGAGAATTTTTGTTAATTTGTATAATTAGTTATGTATTACATTTTATATATTTGAATTTTGTAATAAACAATATGTAATTAAATTATGAGTGTGTCAAAAGAAGTGAATTTAATTTAATAAGATAATTGAATTGAATATTTAATAAGATAGTTGAATTGAAGATGAGATAGTTTGTAATATTGAACCTAGAGTGTTATGTTGAGAAGTATTTGAATCAGTTGAGGAGGGCATGACAAGTGTGAAGAAGAAAAATCTGAAAGAAAAAGAGAAATAAATATGTTAGTAAATTATAAGTAAAAACAAATAAAAGATACAATGACTTATAAAATAAAATTCACTTACCATACAGTGAAGAGAAAGAAACCACCATATGAGAAAGTAAGACAAAAAGAGAGAATTATGAGGAAGAATAGGAGAGGAAAGAAAAGAGATTGAGTAAATAAATGTAGAAATGATATGATATTTATAGAGATCAGCGACACATTTGTAACGGTTTTTTTGTAGCGTTTTATTGCATTTTGTAGCTGTTTGTCATTTTTTAGCGTACAGCTAACTGATAGTATTTGTAGCGGTTAGATTTTGTAGCGTTTATATAACCGCTACAAATTATAATTTTTTATTTTTTTAAAATCTAAACCAATTTTAATTTATACATATATGTATTTGTTGAGGGGAATATTTTCAGTAATAAATTTGTAGCAGTTATGTAACCGCTACAAATTTATTATTATTTTTTTAAAAAAGCTATACCAATTTTAATTTATACATATGTATTTATGGAAGGAAATTTTTTTTAATAATAAAAATTTTGGATGCTGCTATTCTTCATCATCATCCGGCCTGAAAGGACATATTTAAAAAAAAATTTGTTAGAATTATAATGTATTTAGAAGAAATTAGTAATTAGTAGTTAATTATTTAAATAATTTTAAAAAAAGACGTATACCTGATAATTGGCAAATTATCATCTCCTTGAGGAAAGAAGTCTTCAAAATTCGAGGGTTGGAAGGGTTCACTGTCGTAAATAATGTCACCATCACCCATATCATAAAGATCCCGTGGCTTGAGATGAACGACCATATTCCAGTCTTTATGTTTCTCATCCTCGACATAGTGAACCTGGTGTGCCTCGGAAGCAAGGATATATGGCTCATCATCTTTAGATGCCCCCGTATGAAAAAGTCTAGAGAAATTAACTGAGGTGATACCCAAATGGTCAGTAGCGGGTCCCCGTGAAGTTGTCGTATTTGCCTAGGAGCACTTGAACAGTGTCACAGTGAAAAGCTGGTAACTCAACTCAATAATTTCAATTAGCTTTCCATAGTAAGTGACGCCTCCAAAGCGCATATCGCCATCACTGCTGCTAGCATAACATCTCGTTCCGAATGTCCCGCAAACTCCAAAGTTTTGTGTGAGCAATCCCTTATCATGTTTAATAAATTTTAATGTTTATATAGTAATAAATTAATAAATATTTCAATGTTAATTAATACTTGACATAAATAAAATTATAGAAATAAATAAATAAAGTAAACAAATAAATATAAAATTTAAATAAATATCTAAATAGAATATAAAATCATAAAATCAAAATTCAAATAAAATCCTATACAATGAAAACAGGAGAAATCATGGGTGAGGGGCAGAAGCAGCATCATCGTGATCGTCCTCCGCTGGACCCTCCTACTGGGGGTGGGCAGGCCGCTCAACGTGTTGGGATTGGATTGGCTGATAGGGGGTTAGGGGCAGGACTGGTGGCAGGCGTATGTCGGGGATCTCAGGAATCGGGATGTTTTGAGCCATACGAATCACCACATGACGCATAGCCGTAGCAGCTGCCAAGAGCTGGTCAAACTGCAACTGGAACTGAGCATCACGCTCCTGCAACTGATGATCACGCTCCTGCAACTGACGATCACGCTCTCCGATCCTAGCCTCCACCCTGGCCTTGATGCTGGCCTCTAACTCTTGTCTGAGCTCCTCTCGCAACTCCTCTAAGGATGAGGAACCCGGCTGCTTCGCTCTCGTACTCGCCTGAGAGCTCCCGATAGTATATGAAGGGCCAGTGTCACTTGAGCGGGGCAACCTAGTCGGTGTAGGTCCAAGTCCAAGCCCGCTAACTCGACCAGGGTGCTGCGGCTGGCCACGACTCGCTAAAAGTGAGGCGGTGGGATCCAAGGCAGACTCCTGAGACTCACGCAACTCAGTATCTACCTGAGTCATCCGTGCCTACTAAAATTAATGTAAAGAAGTTAATTAGAATAAAATGATATTTACACTGTGATATTATATTAATATTTAATTTATTACTTACCGCTATCTCCTCAACCTCATCCGACGCACGCCTGTCTCGAGGTCTATACACCATCGGCCACATCTCGCCATAAGTGGCCGTGTATCCTTGCTCCTACTGTATCTTTTCCCTCTGTAAATGAAATGAAAGAAATAATTAGTTACAAATTAAATACACATACATATTTAACAAATTTATTTCAAGTACTCACAATCTCATCATAGGTGATCACAAAGCTCCTGGATCCAGCCCTATGACGTATCGTCTGATGCCTGATGCTCCCAGCATTTCTCCTGGAAAGAGCTTGAAGCAAAATGTAAAAAAATTAAATTAAATTAGTCAAGTTAGACAAAAAATAAAGAAATTATAATTAATACAATATTATCATACCATCTGGTCAGCCGTCATCCTAAAATACACGTAACTGGACCAGTCTTGCTTAAGGACTCCACCAGGTACATCTGCCAGTATCTCCTGCAGGGCATTCGTCCCGTCACCTTTCTTCTCCCTCCAAAGGTCGGCCCTCCTGTTCTTCTATGCCACCCCAAGCCTCTTGATCATGTCGGCCCTCAACTCTTCCCGCAGAATAAATTTACTCTGTGATTAAAATAATAAATTAACTAAATAACAAATTATAAACAAACAATTAAGCAATTTCAATAAAAAAATATATTTTTTAACTAACTTAAAAATATTATAAATAAAATATAAATTATATCAATAACAAATCATAATTAAACAATTAAGTAATTTAAATGAAAATATATTTTTACTCAACTAATTTAAAATTATTATAAGTAATAAATTAATGAAATCAATAACAAATTATTTTCAAACAATAAAATAATTTAAATAAAAAATATATATATTCATTTAACTACTTTAAAAATATTATAAATAACAAACAAAATAAATAAATAAATAATTATAATCGAATAATTAAATTATTTGAAAATAAAATATATAAGAATTTATTTAAA